CAAGTTCAAGACCAGCCTGGGCTACAAAGTGAGCTCAAGGCCACCCTGAACTGCATAGGGAGATCTTGTCTCAAAAAGGCCAAAAAAAAAAAAAAGAACCCTTTGAATAATGCCTCTCATTCATGTCCTCTATTTTTAAATCCTGGATTTTCAACTACACATTCACAATACCTTTTTATTCTAATCTATATTTTCAATCTAATTTTCTATCTCCCATCTCTGTGCTGTACTCTAGATAATTTTTTTTCTGATATATGGTCTAGTTCACTAGTCTCCATCTCTCTTTAATCTGTTTAATTCATATACTGAGTATTTAATTTCAACATTTTCTTTTGTTCCTGAATGTTCTTTTTTGCTTTGTTTTGTTTGTTTTGGTGAGACAGGGTCTTGCTATATTCCCCAGGCTGCCCTCAAACTCCTGGCCTTCCTACCTCGGCATCCTAAGTAGCTGGTATTAGAGGATATGCCACCATGATTGGCTGTGATTGGGTCATTTTGACACTTAGTTTTTGTTATTAATTCTTACTCTATTTTGCATTTCTTCAAATATTTCATACACGATTACTAAGTACTATACTTCACTGATTATTCAATATCTGCAGGCTTTGGTTATGCTAACTCTTCCTATCGGGTTGCTTGTGTGCATGTACTCTGGGTGTAAACTCAAATTTTCTTAAATTTAATCTACAGAAATCTTGAGGGCTGCCGGGGGTGGTGGCACATGCTTGTAATCCCAGCATTTGAGAGGATGAGGCAGAGTTTGAGGCCAGCCTGGGCTACAGAAGTGAGCTTAAGGCCAGCCTGAACTGCATAGCAAGACCCGGTCTCAAAAAGACCAAAAAAAAAATAATAATAAATAATTTTTTTTTCATCAAGAAGCAAAAGAGAGCGATCATAATGCTCACTGTTTTTGTTTTTCTTTTCTCTTTTGCCCTTTGGAACATTATCTTAATTTTTAATGCACCAAAATGCTCACAAGAAATTATAATTTATCCTGCACCTAACTGTATTGTAATGACAGAGCTTTTTAAGAGTATCTAGTACCTAAGAAACAAAAGTCCATCCTTTCCTTTCCACCCCCTACATGGAGGGTATATTCTAAATGGCAGCCATGATAGCACATGCCCTATTTAATGTGCTCCCTGCAAGTGAACTAGAACATGTAACTTACCACATCTGCATGACTATCCTGCCCAGTTTTTTTTTCAGTGCTGGGAATTTAACTCAGGACCTCACACATGCTAAGCAAGTGCCCTATCACTGAGCTACATTCCTGACTGTCCCCATTTTATCATTCCATGTAGATTGTACTTTGGTTTGGAGAAACCAAGCAACTTGCCCAGAGACACACAGATCCTCTCAAAGCTAGACACAAGAGAAAGAAAGAAGGCAGAAAGGAAAGGAAGGAGGGAGGGAGGGAAAAAGAGCAGAAAGAAGAGAGGCCATATGCACAGCTTCAAAACTAAGTGTTTTACTATCGTCTCTCCTTTGAACTGCCATCTATACAATATGTTTGTGTGAATTACACAATATAGCAGAATCTAATTGCAAAGGAAATTTACCTTACCTTTTGTAGAAACTTCTTGTTTAAATTTTGTATTCAGGCAAAATAGAAAAACATTTGGGTTTTTTTCTTGGAATATATCCAACTTTAAGAATTCTTTTTTCATTCAATGGAAGATTTTTAATCTCTTTACCTGAAATATAAGAGAAAAAAAAACTGAATTTCTTCTTTTACAAAGTCAGTTTTTTTTTTTTGGTTTTTCTCCAGTACAGGGAACCGAACTCACGACCTTGCGCTTGCCAGGCAGGTGCTTTTGCCGCTGAGCTAAATCCCCAGCCCCCAAAGTCAGTTTTTTTTAAGAGTAGGAAAATTGCCAGGCATGGTGGCACACACCTGTAATCCCAGCACCCAGGAGGCTGAGGCAAGATCAACAGTTCAAGCCAGCCTGGGCTACATAGTGAGACCCTGTCTCAACCCCCCACCCCAAAAAAGGGGTTGCCGCCTCAGTTTTTTTTTTTTTTTTTTCTTTTTTTTTTTTGTCTTTTTGAGACAGGGTCTCCCTATGCAGTTCATTCAGGCTGGCCTTGAGCTCACTTTGTAGCCTAAGCTGGTCTGGAACTTGATACTCCTGTCTCAGCCTCGCCTCCTGCGGTTGGGAGCATGGAGCAGGCCACCACACCTGGCTAAAACAAAACAAATTTGAGTGTGGTGGCACAAACCTATTATTCCACTCTTGGAAGCTAAGGCAGAGGGACTGCAAGTTTTAGCCCATGTTGGACAGCTTGGCAACTTTGTAAGACCCAGTCTCAAAATTTTAAAACATTTAAAATGGCTGAGGAAAAAAATAAAATAAAATAAAATAAAATGGCTGGGGATATAGCTCAGTGCAAAGAGCCCAGGCTCGATCTCAGTATACCACAGGAAAAAAAACCTCGATGTGGTGGTATACTCTACAATCCCACCATCTGAGACACTGAAACAAGAAAACTACAAATTCAAGTCCTGCCTGAACAACTTCTCCCTGTCTCAAAGACAATAAAAAATAAGCCAGGCATAGTGGCACAAACCTATAATCCCAGCACTCAGGAGGTTGCGGCAGGAGGATCACCATACATTGGAGGCCTGTCGGGCTGTACAATGAGTTCAAGGCCAGGCTGAACTACACAGTGCAACCCTGTCTTAAAAAAAAAAGCGTATTCTTTGTCAAAAGGAGAGGGTGAGGAAAAGGGACAGGGAGAAAAACAGAGTAATGGGGAAGGAGAGAGTAGGGAAAGGAGGGAGGGAAGGAATGAAGGAAAAAGGGAGAAAGGAAAAGAGGAAAGGAGGAAGGTAGACAGGGCTGAGAAAGGAACACCTAACCCTAACCTCTTCCTTAACAGGCAGAGTTGCTGGCTGCACCTGTTCTCTTGCTAGCAACCCCAAAAAAATAACCCTCTCTTATAACCTCCCTGCAGGTTGGAGCAGGACTCTCTCCTACAGCCCATGTCTACCAGCCTAAACTCTGCTATCACTGTGTATACATAGTGGTGGTGAGGTTTCCATCCCTTTCTTCTTACCATGTGCTCAGATCTCATTCTGCAGTACTGGATTATTATTTTTTTTTAATTTTTTTTTTTTTTTTTTTGGTTTTTCTCCGGTACTGGGAATCAAACTCTCAACCTTGCGCTTGCCAGGCAGGCGCTGTGCCGCTGAGCTAAATCCCCAGCCCCCAGTGCTGGATTACTGTAGAAAAGCTTTCTCCTAAGCCCTATCCCCAATTCCTTCCCTATGCAAAACAATTTCTGGGATTCCCACTCAGGAAAAAGCCACCTGTGCTCTCCCTCAGGGCATTCTGATCAGAAGAAGGGTCAGCAACAGGATCTCATTATGTAGTCCAGGCTGTCTTTGAACTCACTATGCAGCCCAGACTATCCTTGAACTTGCGGTGATCTGTCTGCCTCAGCCTCCTGAATGCTGAGATCACAGGCATGCGCCACCCTGCCCGCCTCTTTCTCCTTCTTCCATTCATCCTTTCAATTGTTGTTTTAGGTGCTGTTTTTCATTTTTGGCAGGGCAAGGGATGAAACACAGAGCCTTACACATCCTGGGAAAAGTCTCTACCTCCTCTATTTCCCCATGGATATTTCTAGGCCACCTTGTGCTTTCATTTTTTATTTTGTTGTGGTTGTTGTTTGCTTTCATTTTTTAAAAAACTCTATTTTATCTTATTTTATTTTATCTTTATTTATTTTGAGACAGGGTCTTGCTATATAGTTCAAGCTAGCCTTGAACTCAGGATGTATCCCAGGCTGGCCTTGAACTGATAGCAATCCTCCTACCTCAACCTCCCAAGTGCTAGGACTACAGGCATACACCACCATGCCCAGCGTGCCTTTCTTAAAAAAAGAAAAAAAAAAAAAAAACTCTATTTTTTTATACTTTTGCTTCAGGTTAAAATGGAATAACAGGAACCAGATTTACCTTCCCATCTACCAAAACTTAAAATATATGAAGCAATGTTTTTTCAAGATACTGGACATCTGACAATGAAGGACAGTGATCCCTGAAAGAAGGGGAACAAATAAGAGGAGCCCTGCCACTGCTCAGCTACCTGCCTGAAAAATAGCTCGGGCAAAGAGAAGCCAAGGTAATTACTGTCCCCAACAGAACTGCAGAGCATCTTCAGCTGAGCTGATTATTGCTTGTGGTAAGAAAGCCACCCAGCCAGGAAAATATCACTCAAAAAGATTTGTGGGGACTGGGAATGTAGCTCAGTGGAAAGCATTTGCCCAACATGTGCAAAGCCATGAGTTTAATCTTTAGCACTGCAGAAATAAAAAAAGATTAGAGGGAACAATCCTTAACATTCACAGGGGGCCAATGTTGGTTCCTCTTCCTCCCAGAGTGGAAAACCCTGTAATTTACAGGATACTGGACACAGTGCTCAGTCTTCCCTCAGTGGGGCAAAATTAACCTAGATAAAACATCTCCCTGGTTCCATCTAAAAATCTTAAAAGCAAGACTCCCCCAAATCTAACCATTTCCAAGTAATCAAGCCCATTTCATTTTAAACAAAAGCTGGGCATGGTGGCGCATGCCTGTAATCCCAGCACTTGGGAGGCTGAGGCAGGAGGATCATTGCGAGTTTGAGGCCAGCCTGGGCTCCAAAGTGAGCTCAAGGCCAGCGTGAACTGCATAGCTAGACCCTGTCTCAAAAAGACCAAAAAAAAAAAAAAAAAAAAAAAAAATACATCTTAGAACAAAGGTCAAGAACATTTACAGGAATACAAAAATACCCAGCATCCAGCACAATAAAATTCAATATGTGGGCAATGCACAGGCTGGGCATGGTAGCACATGCCTGTAAGTAATCCCAACACTCAGGAGGCTGAGACAGGAGGATTGTTGTGAGTTCGAGGCCAGCCTGGACTATAAAGTAAGCTCAAGGCCAGCCTGAACTGCATAGCAAGACACTGTCTCAAAAAGGCCAAAAAAAAAAAAAAATCACAGTGTCTAGGTATCCAATCAAAACTTACTAGCAAAAGAGTAGGAGGGGGCTGGGGATTTAGCTCAGTGGCACAGGGCCTGCCTGGCAAAAGCAAGGTCGTGAGTTTGATCCCTGGTACAGGAAAAAAACCAACCCCCCACCGCCCAAAAAACAGAGTAGGAAAACACAAACTATAATGAACAATAAAATCAGACAAAATCAACTCAGAAATGCACACATGTGTTAATGGACAAGGGCTTTTTTTTTTTTTGGTCTTTTTGAGACAGTGTCTTCAGTTCAGGCTGGCCTTGAACTCCCCGCGATCACGATCCTCCTGCCTCAGCCTCCCCAGTGCTGAGATTATAGGCGTGTGCCACCACACCTGGCTAAGGGGTATTTAAACCATTGTTAAAATTGCTATGAATGTACTCCATAGTTCAAAACCTTAAAAGGAAAGATTAGATATGTGAAGTAGAGACATGGAAGACATACCAGGAAACAAACAGCATCATAAAAATGCCCTTTATCCAACAGAAAGCAGACATTGCACGAGGCACAGCACACCTGTAATCCTGGTAGCTCTGGAGCTAGAGGCAGACCAGCCCGCAAAATGTATGGATATCCTATCTAAAAATAAAATATAAAAATGACTGAGAATATAGCTCAATGGTAGAGCATGCCTGGGTTCAATGTTCAGTACCAAAGAGACGTGAAGTGAAGGGAGAAGATTAAAAGAAGGCAGAAAGAGGAAAAGGGAACAAAGAGATAAAAGTTATGGAGTCTGAGTAGGTACTGGCTGGTAAGCACTTCATAAGCATTAACTCACTGAATCCTCAAACTAACATTATAAAAATACTGTTACCAGCACTCCTTTACAGACAATAAAACTAAGTCCCAAGAAAACTAAGTCCCCAGAAGATTAATTCCTTCAAGGCCCCACAGCAAATAAGATAGCCAGAACCCAAACCCATATGATCTCACACTAGTCCAAGAATCAAAGAGTTCTTCTAAGTAAACCCCTAAGAGTTTAGGCTTCTGTTGCTTCTGTTCTTTCTCTTTCCACGGAGCTACATTCCCAGTCCCCTCAAATCTGTTTTATGGCAAATAATTACTAAACTGTTTTAGTTTATGATATAAACACAATTGTTTCAAAATAACAGTTATTACTAACAGCTATTGTGGTGGTACATATCTGTAATCCCAGCACTCGGGAGGCTGAGCCAGGAGGATCATTGGGAGTTCAGGACCAGCCTGGGCTACAAAGCAAGCCCAAGGCCAGTCTGAACTGCATAATGAGATGCTATCTCAAAAAGACAAAAAAAAAAAAAGAGGGCCAGGGATATAGCTCAGCAGCACAGTGCCTGCCTGGCAAGCAAGAGGTCGAGAATTTGATTCCTAATACCAAAAACAAAACAATGTAAGATTTTAGCTGGGTGTGGTAGTGCATGCCTGTAATCCCAGCACTTGGGAAGCTGAGGCAGAAGGATCACCATAAATTCAATGCCAACCTAGGCTAACAGTGAGTTCAAGACCAAGCTGAACTATGTAGCAAAACCCTATCTCAAGAAACAAACAACATACAATTTTAGTGGGGGCACAATTCAGTCCAGAGCACTCTGATTTCCTTCTTGTCCTCCATCCCACTCCAATGAATATCCATAGAGGATCTGTCCTGTGACTGGCACACATCAAGGACTCAGTAACTATTAGCTAACTCCAGCGCTACCCCAACACAGCTCGCCTATGTGGTTGGACACTTCTGGGTCTTCAAACTTCCAAGGTAGAAATTCATAGTAAATTCCTAGTAAATTCTCAGAATGATGACTTCAACTCACAGCCTATGACGATTAATCTTTTTTGTCTGTCTGCTTTTATTTTCTTTTTGTTTCTTTAGAAAGGGTCTTGCTATGCCATTTAGGTTGGCCTTGAACTGAAAGTGATCCTCCTACTCAAGCTCCCAAATGCTGGGATTATAGCCCTTCCCCAACACGCCCACCTTATGATAGTCATTCTTTTTTCTTTTTTTCTTTTTTTTTTTTTTTTGAGACAGGGTCTCACTGTATACTTTAGACTGACCTTGAACTCACTATGTAGCCCAAGCTGACCTCGAACTCACAGAGATCCTCCTGCCTCAGCCTCCCAAGTGCTGGGATTACAGGCATGTGCCACCATATCTGGCTGATGGTTATTCTTGATTGTTAATTTTACTTGCTTGAGAGATGCCTAGGAGCTTAGTAAAGCACACTTCTGCATGTGTCTGAATGGATCATAGGGGCAGAACATTGGGGATTATATCTGATCTTTGGCCCCTATTTTGGGGGGTATTGGAAATTGAACCCAGGGCCTTTACACTGGAGCTACATTCCCAGTCAAACATATATCCTCCTGGCTGTAACATACGATAAAATGAAAAGTGAAAACCTTCCATGTGCTCACCATTTGGAACTATGCAGTTCTCTAAGGACAGAGCTGGCAACTCTCCTCACTAAGGACAGAGCTGCCCAGCATGGTCAGGACACTCTTTCATCACTGATTATAAAGGCCCTGACCCCTACTCTTCCCTCCTGGAGCCAAAACTCCAAGCACCCAGCAACCCATAAGGCACACACTGGCATAGAGACAAGCTGGATAAAAAAACTTTGCCCACCAGAGAGAAGCGTATCAAAAAGTACCAGGAAGGCCCTGAAGGAATGACCACAGCTGACATCCACACAAGATGCACAAGAGAACTAAGAGCCAAGTAACTGACCTGAGAGTTATACCAGCCACAAGGAAATGAAGTAATGATCATAGCTAGCTTTTGCACAGGTCTTACCATAAGGGCACAGTATGAGCCTGGTCACTCAAAAGCTTAGCAAAGGCCAGGTGTAGTGGCAGACACTTGTAATCCCAGCACTTGGGAGGCTGAGGCAGGTGAATTTGAGACCAGCCTGGGCTACATAAGCGAGTTCAAGGCCAGCATGCAGTACATAGTGAGACCCTGTCTCAAAAAATAAATAAATAAAAGTTTGGCACAATTCCATGTTGTAGGTCATATACTGCAACCTCAATTCATAAGCAAAAATTAGAAGCCTCAGTAATTGTGCAGCCAACCCAAGGCCACCCTTGACCTTCATCATTCCTTTTACATTCCCTTTGGTAACTCCTTTTTTTCCCCCTATGTTGACTAAGCCAGAATTTGGCTATCATATGGAGACAGAGAATACAGATTACACCACTGACTAACCTGGAGTGTAAATTCTCAAGTCTCTATGCCTCAGTTTCCTCTACTATGATATAGGTGATAACACTGTATACCTCAAAAGGTAATGCAACTATTAAATAAGAAAACCCACACACATTATCCAATACTGGCCTGCCGAATAGTAAATATTCAAAAAATGTTAGCAATTTTTTTTTTTGTTTGTTTGTTTTTGTTTTTCTCCGGTACCGGGAACAGAACTCACGACCTTGCGCTAATGTTAGCAATTGTTGTCACGAGGGTAGGGGCTGAAATTATGGGAGAGTGTTGCTCAGAGAACGCTTCCATGAGGAAACCTAGCTTGAGTTTTACTCATTTTAAATTAATGACCACCTCGCCTGGCAAGCGCAAGGTCCTGAATTTGATTCCTGGTACCAAAAAAAAAAAAAAAATTAATGACCACAAACCCTAAGTGAACATTAAATACAGTCTAGCAATCCTACTCTGTTACTCTAGGGATCTAGTTTCCCTCTCTTAAAGACAACTGTGAAGACTAAAGTAAGAAAATCACAAGTTCAAGGCCAGCCTAAAATATAGTGAGACCCTGTCTCACAAAAACAAAAAGCTGCGCATGGTAGCACAAATGGGAGGCTGAGGCAAGAGGATTCCAAGCTTGAGTCCAGCCTGGGCAACACTACCTGATCTCAAAATAAATAAATAAAAATTTAAAAATAACATGGGGCATTCAATTCCTGGTAACAAAACCAAATAATAATAATAATAATATAATAATAGTAACATGGGGTAGCATATCAATGAAACATATCTGAGCCAAGTGTGGTGGCACACACCCATAATCCCAACACTTGAGGCTGAGAAGAAGGACTGCCATGAATGAGTTCAAGGCCAGCCTGGGTTTCATAGGGAGTTCAAGGCTAGCCTGAATTAGTGAGTGAAACCCTGTCTCAAAAAAAAAAAAAAAAAAAAATCTGAAACTCCAGAAAAGTCTGCACATATATGTTAAATTAGTTTATAACAAAAAGGTTGAAAGTGGTGGTGCACACTTGTAATCCCAGCACTAAGGAGGCTGAGGCAAGAGGATCACTATGTGTTAAAAGCCAGCCTGCACTACATTGTAAGACCCTGTCTCAAAAAAAAAAAAAAAAAGTATACCAAAGGCTCCGATACAATTTAATGGAAAAAACAATCTTTTCAACAAATGATGTTGAATTGTACATCCATAAATGGAAAAAAATGTATCCTGACACCATCGAGACAACATGCCTGTGATCCCAGCACTTAGGAGGCTGAGGCAGGAGGACTGCTATAAGTTCGAACCCAGACTGGACTACACAGGGAGTTAAAGCCAGCCTGGGGGGCTGGGGATTTAGCTCAGAGGCACAGCACCTGCCTGGCAAGCACAAGGTAATAAGTTTGATTCCCAGTACTGGAAGAAAACAAAAAAAAACAAAACAAAACAAAATAAAGCCAGCCTGAATGATATACTGAGACCCTATCTTAAAAGAACAACAACAACAAAAAAGAAAACCAGGAAAAAGCACACATATACAATCCCTTTCCTCTCCTCCCACCCCCTCACTATATACGCATATATATACACACACATGACCACATTACAAAGGACTTGTAATCACAATCCATCTCTTAACTCTTTAAACACTAAAAACACAATCCAATCAAGCATGGTGGTATACACCTGTAATCCCAGCACTCTAGGAGGCTAAAGCAGGAGGATTGTAAATTCAAACCCAGCACGAGCAACGTAGCAACTCAGTGAGATCCTGCTTCAAAATTTTCAAAACATTTTGAGCCAAGTACGGTGGCACACACCTGTAAGCCTAGCACTCAAGAGGTTCTGGCAGAAGGACAGCCTCAAATTCAAGGTGATGGGCCAAGGATATAGCTCAGCGGCACAGCACCTGCCTGGCAAGCACAAGGTCATGAGTTCAATTCCTGGTACCAAAAAAAAAAAAAAAAAAAAAAAAATTCAAGGTCAGCCTGGGGTACATACTAAGTTCAGGGCTAGCCTGGACTGTATAAGAAGGGTAGTCTAAAGGCTCTGGGCTCAATCCCCAGCACTAGGGGAGGGGGCAATCTAATAAACAGTGGGGAAATTACTTGAAGGACACTTCACAAAAGATATACAGGCAAAGCCAGGCATGGGGGCGCATGCTTGTAATCCCAGCACTCAGGAGGCTGAGGCAGGAAGATCTTTGCGAGTTCAAGACCAGCCTGGGCTACAAAGTGAGCTCAAGGCCAGCCTGAACTGCATAGCAAGACCCTGTCTCAAAAAGGCAAAAAAAAAAAAAAAAAAAAAAAAAAAAAAAAGAAAAAGAAAAAAAAGATATACAGGCAAGGCTGGACATGGTAGTGCATACCTATAACCCCAGCATCAGGAGGTTGAAGCAGAGATTTCGAAGTCTGACCCAAGCTGGACTACACAGTCCATACTAACCCTCTCAAAAATAACAAAAATATGCAAACAGCCAATAAGTACATGAAAACTTCATCATCCACATTTGTCAAATACACATTAAAATCACAGTTAAAATAACACTAGCCGGGTGAGGTGACATGTTCCTGTAATCCCAGCACTCAGAAGACTAAGGGTGAAG